CAATGACGTCATATATGACGTCATATTCACGGACGCCAAAAAAAAAAAAAACTATTACTACTACCTAGCCTTGCCGTCATCGTCAGCATTATCGATAATTCTGACGATAGATAAAAAAAAAAAGAAAAAAACGTTTACAATAGTATTTATTGTATTTATTGGTGTGAAATAACCATGACGCTTTGTAGTAGTAACTGTACATCCACACCAGGAGTATGTGACTTACTAGAGTCGTAAAAGCATTGATAGTGATGTATGTGCATTACCTTGTACAAATTGCAATATTTAGTACTTCCATTTCTTAGGCGAAATGCGGTAACTCCTACCCCTACCCCCCTTCTTCTTTCATTTCTCATCTCCCTTGAAAATCTCCCTCTCCTCTTTCTCTTCCCTCTTCTAATTCCTCTTTCTCTCCCTCTTCCCTCCTTCCTCCCTCCCTTCTCCCTCTTCTAATTCCTCTTTCTCTCCTTCCTCCCTCCCTTCTCCCTTTTCTAATTCCTCTTTCTCTCCTTATTCCCTCCTTCCACCCTCCCTCTTCTTATCTTCCTCTCCTTCCCCCTTTTCTTCTTATTTCCTCTTTCTCTCCCGTTTCTCTCCCTCCTACTTCTTTCTTCCCTCTCTTTCTCTGTCTCTCGTTTATCATGTATTTTACTATAGATGATTTATTTATGAATGAGTGAGAGACGTAACAAGAATTAGCCAATTCTCATATATGTTTTATTCCACTTTATTGTTTTGTTATGATAATAATAGTAATTACTCTTGTTATCATTATTATTATTATTATTATCATTATTGCTATTATAATTTTTGTTATTAGTAGTAGTAGTACTTTTATTATCATTGTAATTATTTGTTTATTATTATTATTATTATTATTTTATTATTATATTGTTATTATTATTATATTATTATTAATTTTATTATTATTATTATTATTATCACCATCATTATTATTGTTATTATTATCATTAATATCATTATTGTTAGTATTTTTCTTTTTATTGTTATTATTATTATTATTGTTGTTAATATTATTATCATTGTTATTATTATTTTAATGATTATTATTATTATCATCATTATTATCCTTACCATTATAATTATCATTGTCATCATCATTATCGTTATCATTATCATTATTATTATCATTATCATTATTATTATTATTATTATTATTATTATTATTATTATTATTATTATTATTATTATTATTATTATTATTATTATTATTATTACTACTACTACTACTACTACTACTGCTACTATTATCATTATTGTTATTATCATCATTAATATCATTTTTTTGTTGTCATTATCATTGTTATTGTTATTATTTTTATTATTGTTATTTTTATTATTATTGTTTTTATTATCAGTATTATAGTTATTTTTGTTATCGTTATTATTGTTATTATTATTAGTATTATTACTATTACTATTATCATTAATATGATTATTATTATTAGCATTATATGTTGTCATTATTACTACTTATTTCATGTTAAATTTTTCCTATTGTTCCTTGTTCAATAATTCTACTATTACTTCTTTAAATTATTGATAAATTTACTAGTATTATTATTTTCTAGTCTCTCGGGTTTTTGTATCATCTGACTAAAGGGAGAACAAGTATAATCATAAGTAGTTTGTACGATTTTTATTTCTCGTTTTGTATGTTATGAAGTAGATTTAGTGCCAAATCAGAGGACTTGAAATACTTATAAAAGGGATTGTGTGTATATAGAGAGGAAATATATATAGACCCTTTAATTTCTGTAGATTTCGGCATTGCAGGCAGTTAAATTATTAAATACTAATTATAAGAAAAAAATTAGGAACGATGTAAAAGGTCGTTTCATATGTTTTGAAAAAAAAATGTACATTAACGATAGTAATGATAATGATGTGATGTATAAAAAATATCGTGTCTTAGAATATCTGCTATTGTGTAGTGGGTATTGTTGCTGTTGATAATAATAATAAAGTTTTAGGAAAAAAAAAACTAATTGCCAAGAACTATTTGTTTGTTTTTTTGTCGAATAGCAATTAGAATATTATTTTTCATAATGTGTCTTCTCTCCTCCTCTTTTCCACACTTATTATTTATAACATTGTGTAAATTATGATTAAAATGAAGGCATTATTTTCGTTATAATCTCCATCTCCTTTATACTTTTTTAACAATTAATGATTATTTTAAACACAATGGACATACGGTTTGTTAAAATTGTGCCAGACCAAACCCAATGAATTTTCATAAATACAGACGCAGAAATAAAGGCATATCTGTCAATATATCTGATAGATATACATTTAACTATCTATTTTCCCGGTTGATATGCATGTCTAGACTGATAAATATGCATTTAACTATCTATTTGCCCGGTTGATATGCATGTCCAGCCTGGTAAATATGCATTAATTTCTTTATTTATGCAAGTATACGAATATTCTATGGGTCGGACCTCGCACAAGTCTAACAAACCGACAGACACAC